AATTCTGCTCCCCCACCATAAAGTTTGTGGGTTGAAAAAAGTCCCTGACAGAGACACAAAGAGACACCAGCCACCGAGGAGGAAAGTGAGTAATGTATGTGGGACCTGCTCACTGTAGTGTGGGATAGTTCAAAGGCTGAACAGGGCTGTATGTCCAGGACCCGAATATCATATGCTACATGGAGAGTTTAGGCTCTTTGATGGCATGGATTGGAATGTCATGGCTGGGTGGTAGTGAGAATGTAGCTATGTGGTTAAAGTAATGGACTTATAATTTCTGACAAACAGATGTCCCTTCATTATTATCCCCAAATGAAATAAATTAATGAAGTGCACAATTAGCTGGTCAGTTCAATTTAATCGCTTGATATCCCATAAGCAACTGGTGTTCAGAGTATGGTTATCAGTTTAGCATAATCGGCACCACCTGAAACTAGTCAGGAAAGAAAATTCTTCGTTTCCTACCCAGTTACCACTCTGAAGGTAGGCCTCAGAAATCTGTGATGAGCTCTCCAGATGACTCTGTGTGCTGGATAGGGTTAAGGGAGCCTCAATTGCCTCAATTAGTGAATTGCCTCCATTGGACTGACCTGTGGCCGTGCCTGTAGGGGCATTTCTTGATTGTGGAGTGATGTGGGAGGGCCCAGCCCACTGTGGATGGTGCCACCCCTGGGCAAATGGCCCTGTATTGTATAAGAAAGCAGGTTGAATACAGGCCAGAGAGCAAGCCAGTAAGCAGCATTCCTCCATGGCCTGTGCTTCAGCTCCTGCCTCCAGGTTCCTGCTCTGAGTTCCTACCTTGGGTTTCCTCAGTGATGGACTGTGACTCAGGAGATGTACGCTGAATAAACTCTTTCCTCGCCAAGTTGGTATTGGTCAGAGTAGTTTGTCACAGCAATGGAGAAACACATGGAGGTTAGAACACATGAACGTTTGAGAATTGTGTATGTAAACAGATTACAGCACTGACACACTTAACTCTTATACCAATTGGGGAGAAGTAGACTCCAAATGGACATAATTGCCTGATTTTTATTCTAGTTGGGTATGAATGTGGAAAAATCATTTAATCTTCAATCTGTAAAATTAGATGTTTGGACTAATAATATGTTCCATTTTTTTAAACAAAATAAACACAGTGGAATACTTTCTTTCAGAGAAAGTCTGTTGGAAACTCCATACCTAGTACGTTAAAAGATACATATACAGTATATTAACAAATACATATCCAGTGTACTAAAATGCAGAGTTCTTAGTTGGGGTTAGTAACCAAGTGCTCGCCTACAGTGGCTTCTCACATATCACTACAGATCTTCAGAGTCTAAGGTGTATAGTTTGAAAACTACCAAGCTAGGGAACCAAAATACCTCTGCAGTGTGCTCTGAGACATCAGGCGGACTTAAACATGACTTACCTGGTGATGATGACCCTGAAGCTGACCTGTAATCACAAACCTCATCTGTACCTTTACTAGTTGGGCAACTAGGTGCAAACCACGCAGTGTCCATGGTCTTTGCATCCTCATTCATAAAGAGACATTGACTCTAATTCTTGTGATATTCATCTTAAAGGGCTTTTGAGAGAACTGAATGAAAGTATGTATGTGAATATACTTTATAAATTGCTAAGTCCTATTTAATTGAAAGGGATTATTGTGTGAGAAATTGTCCTTCCAGGTAGTTTTGCTTTGTAAGTGGTGCCAAAGATAGGTAGAGATAGATGGAGAACGTTGATAAATGCTTTGTAGTTTCACCCCTCTCTTAGGGATGTGAACATAATTTTCCTTTTTAATTAAAAACCTGTTTACCAAGATGAATCACTCTAAATAAAACAATGCTGAAGCAGAGGTGAGTGAACTGGTTGAGTCATTCTATAAAGCTTAGAAGCGTTACAGAATAATACTAACTAAGAGATAATTAGTTTTTCCTTTACAATAAAGAGAGCCAATTTTGGAATATGTTGATTTAGCATTTTTAGGTGGTTACATATTCAGAAATTTGTAACCATGTTCATGTGGCTTTTTTCTTTGTAGATGAGGCTTCTGGAAGAGATTTATCTACCACAGAGTTGTAGAGAAGTAACCAACAGCATGTTTTATGGCTGTATTTTATTATAAAGGAAGTGGTGAATAATTCATTGTGGAAATTTTGACTATCTACTAGGAATGTCAAATATGGTTACTGGAGTTAGAAAGTGGTCTTATTTTAAGACCCACTGATTTCCAGATCCCCAGAACAGCAGCTCAGATGATGTCTGTAAACCATCATCCTAATAAAACAGGTACCTACAGATAACTCACAGTGCCTACTTTGAAGGTAGCTATCACCTGGACCCGCAAACATTTTCAGTGTGTCACTTTGCATTTCATAAATAAATCTGTCCATTGCATGATTCCTCAACCTAATACTGCTGTGATTCCATCAGAACTCTGAGGAGTGATCAACAGAGACTTGACAAGGATTTGCTTATGACTCATATTTGAGAGGCAGGGCTGTCAACATTCCTGAACCTTGGGGCTGGCTAGGCAGCCTGGGAACAAGCTTCTGTAAGCATGCCCATTCATTCATGCAAAATAAAGGTAGATATCCTGAACTTACTATTTACCTATCATACAGTGAATAAAACGAAAAAAACAGGCCTCTACTGAGATCCACAGGATATGGAAGAATCAAGCAGGCAGGACTGGGTGTGGGATGACAAAGAGGCATGGAGGGCAGCAGAGTGTGTTTAAGTGGAACACATAGAATAACACATAGAATGGCCCCAAAAAGAAAGTACAGCCCATTCTGAAGACTGGAGAAGTCCATAGTAACTAGAGTATGTGCCACGTTGAGTGGTGAGGCAAGCTAGTGACAGGACTTGGAAGTCCTTGTCAGCATGGGACTCCTTGACCGCGTTTATGACTCACGAGAGCCATGCTTTTCAAAGAGTTTCATAGAATCCAGGGTTGGGAGTGTCAGTCAAGGGATTCCAGAAGGCTCCGGGGAATAGGGGTGGAAGGGAAAAGTTCTGGGCTCCAATTTCTACCTCAATAATAACAGCTTTGTTTGTATGTATTTTAAATGTTGAGGCTAGAAGTAAGATAGCATTGGAAGGTGAGGATTTATGATCAAAAACTGATTGGAAACCACAAAGGTCTGGGGGAGGCGTGTCCAATCTTTCCACACTGTGGCCTGATGCTGCTGTCTACACAGTTCATGCTTGAGAACTTCGCAACTGAGTTAAAAAAAAATCAAAAAGACTCTTAATGTTTTGGGCAACTTTATGATTTTGTGGTGAGCCACATTTGTAGCTATCCTTAGCTGCATGTGGCCCATGGGCTGTGGGTTGGACACCCCTTTAGGGTAAGTGGAAAGTTGAGCAGATTTTTAATGAGTCTGTTGGAGTCTGGACAGAGACTACAGCTGCCCTCTAGCCCTTCCCCTGCTCCCCTAAGCAGGGCCTGCTTCTCAAATGAGCAGAGCTCACCTCCAATCCACTCCTCCACTCATCTCCTTCATCCAGGGAGCAAGAGAAAGGACAGATTTACTGCTTTATCCTACTCAAGTAGCAAAATTTAGAAATACTTAAAATATGCCATTGACAGTTCTCACCGACTATTGCAATATTTTCTGTTTGTTACTCAATGCAAACCTTTGTATTCCAAGACCGTAACATGACTTTAAGTGGAAAATTGTGAGCAAAATTCTGTAACCATTCCCCATAGTCAGGGTGACATTTTCTTAGTCTGACTCTCAAGGAGGAGGGTCATAAACCAGACTTTAGGCAGTAGACCATATACCACTTTCAACAACCCCTGCTCCTTTCAGTATGTCTCTTCTCTAATATGCCCACCTGATAGTAATGTCTGCCCAGCCCTAGCTCAAGGTCATGTACCTGTAGAGCATTTAGCTGAGTGTCATCTGGATCTTCTGATCTCATTCCCTCCAGTTGTCTTCCCCACCTCCATCTGCATTGGTGTGGTCTCAGCATATCCTACTCAAAGGCCAGTGGAGCAATGACACTGTTAGTGTCTTAACTATATTGAGTGACAGCCCTTAAGTCACTGAGACTCCTATTGCACTCACTCCCGCTTAGACAAACTGTAAATGTGTTCTTGGTTAGCAGTGTGGTGGCATGTGGTTTCCTTTAATTCAAAGTTAGAGGCCCTTTCAGGGTTTCCCATGGTTTCTTTGCAAGTTCCAGAATTGTTTACTCGGAACATGAATGTGGTCCAAGGAGCTTCAACCTGACTAACCACAGCATCCTGCAGTCAACATGTAGGTGGTTTGGGGGCTTATGTAGAGTTTATATACATCTTGAAAACTTCTAAGTGGTATCTGAGTCACTGTCTTAGAAGCAACCCGGAGTGTATTGCATTAGTATTTTCTTTTGGGGACTCCACTCAAGTCTAAAAAAATCATTAAGCTCTATAATTGTAATCAAAGAGATAACTCTACAATTTTGGCAACTTCCAAGCATTTTTTGGTGCAAATTATTTTGACGCCAGTGGCAAATGTTTAGCAGTACTGATAACATTGGCCACAGATTTTAAAAAAGTAGACAAACTAAAGCATTAAACAAGTGAAAAAATAAGGAAACTAAAACAGGAAAATGCTCTAACCTGTTGTTCTGGAGATTAAAGTGGACTTTTATCTTGCCTCAAGCCTACATATTATTTCTTGTTTTGGAGCATTTCAAATGATCTTAATGTAGACGTGTTGAACACTGAGGCTGGTGGCAGCTCATAGTTCTGATTTTATTGCTGGGTGAGTATCCGCAGGTAACAAGTCTCTGGTACTCCACCTAAGGTCTTTGCACAACTCAGAAGAGAACTCTAGTATTCAATGCACTTCCCAGACATTACTTGTTCATTCATTCATTCTATTGTTTATGTAATTAGTGTACATAATATATACTACATATAATTATATATAATACATGGCGAGTAGAATGACTATACATATACACACATATGTATAGTGTCTACTACATGTCAGAAATTTCTATGGGTTGAAAGCTTTAAAATGATGGAGAAGACAGTGTTTTTACCTTTATAGGGTTTATAGTCTAGTGGAAGCACAAATGTTTGCAAATTGAGTGAAAGTATCCAGAGAGAGGCAATTGGGGTTAGATTGAAATTCCACAACAGTGCCTGAGGACTTAAAGCCACAAGGAGGCCACACCCAGGTATCTGACCCAGTCCAGCAACCCTATCTACACTCTCTGTACTCATTAGCCCTATAAGTAGGTACCACCTCACATTCAGTGCTTGAGAAATCATTGCTTTTCCCCCATCTCCCTTTTGTATTCATTTGTTCTCTAATGTAGTCTCAGACTTCAGTACTCCCCCCTCTACACTGACTCCTTCTCTATGTCAAATAGCTTAGGAGTAGATGCTTCTTTGATCTTCTTTTCCTTCATCCCTAGATGTTCTCCCCAGGATTCCATGTTCTTGCTCTCTGTCTTTCTCAGCTATTGGCCAGTTCTGTCTCAACTGAGCCACCTCTACTTTCTGGGCTGGTACATTAGTGGGGAAATCAATGTGAGGGAAGCAGCAGCTTCTGGAAACTCAGATCCAAAAGGCAAAAGGCTGAAGTTCATGTAGCTTGGAGCAGGACCACAATGAGGAGGAGGCTATCAGGAGAAGGTCAAGGGTTCAGGGTTTCAGGTTCAGGTTTCTATAACTGAAATATAGAACAAAAAATTTGGGTAAGATCCAGTATTATATCCCTGAAAGCATGGCAGGGATTTGGGGAAAAGCTGTAATTTGATGAGTGGACTCCAAACCCAGGCTTTGTTACCAATGCTCATTTCAGACCCATGACTGGGTATATGAAATAATTGATCTGGCTGACTGCTTAGGTCTGAGACTCACAGAAAAGACTACTTGGAAGTAGAGACTGTGGCTAGGGATGTAGCTCAGTGGTAGAGCACTTGCATAGTATGTGTAAGACCTTGTGTTTGATTCTCTAGTACCAAAGAAAAAATATAGGCTTTGAGTGGAAACGATCAGAGTGTAAATCCCAGCTCTGTTACTTACTAGTCCTGTGACCTTTCTGATCCTTGTCTCCTCATCTGTAAATGGGGAAGGTATCGCCTGCCCCATAAAGAGCTGATGAATTTGGTATGCCTGTAAGTCTTTTTCAAACAAGGCAGATAAACAAATCATTGAACATCTAGGGGTTCCCCATGAGTCCCAACTGATATGTGGGGAAGTTACCTATGGCTCAGCTCTGCCATACTTGATCTGGTGTCAATAGCTGGGTCTAGTGCGGTCGTTCAGGTATTTTTTTTCTTTTAAAAAATATTTTATTTATTTTTTTCCAGTTAATTATTTATTTAATAACCACATACTTAGAAGAAGCATTTCATTACAACAGCATTGACATATTCAATAACAATTTTCTGAGGTAAGATGCATCTTTTTCAAAATTGACTGTAAATTTTTACGTTTACAGTTGAATTGTTACAGTTATATAATATTGTACTCAGTATAAACCCTATAAGACATAAAATTAAATGAGGTTTTAACCTTCAAAAAAGATCTCCATTTCCTTATTCAAATACACAGTTTTATACAGAAAAATTCATTTTTAATGCAATTATACATCTACTAATTATTATTATTATTTTAATCATTTTTTTTAATTTTTAATAACTACATGATTAGAGGAACCATTTCACTACAGATTTAACATATTCAGTAGCATACTCCGGAGCAAGAGTACATCTCTTTCATAAGTGGATGCAAGTTTCTAGGTTAACAGTTGAGTTAATACAGTTATGCAATATTGAACTTGGTATAAGTCCTGTAAGACGTAAAATTGAATGAGATTTTACCCTTTAAAAAAGATCTCCATTTCATTTTAGAATATATTGTTCCTTGCAGAAAGACTCATTGTTTTTGCTACTAACACTGAGATGTTGGCACATGTATCTCTAATCTGTATGCATCCGATTATTACTAGTCATAATCGGTTGCATTGGACCCTTGGCGCCTGTGTGTGTCTATGAAATCATCGGGTAGATTTCAATGGTAATGTTTACCACCTCTACTAATTAGCATGATGGAATTTCGATGCTTCCTCCTCAAATAAAATACATTTTAAAAAATTTGTTGATTTTTTTTTGTGTGTGTGTATATCACACAGAACATTCCAAACCATCTTATTCGACTATACACCCACTTCCCAGATGGCACCCTCCCATAGCCTCCCTCCCCCTACTAGAGCCCTTATATTCTGATATTCCTGCTACTGTCTGCTGTGTTGTCGGAACCCCCAGCCATTCCCCACTACTTGCCTTTCTGTTGAATCTAGTCAGCCTATCTAGAGGTCTTTGTTTTAGGAGGGTCAGCTGTTCCTCTTCTAGCAGCAATCAGTTGTCAATACTCCTTTAGATAAGATCAGGGTCTGCTGTTCATTTTCCAAGTTCTATGTTGGGTTACTACTTTTGGGAGTCCCTTTGTTCACCCTGGCCAACAACTCAAAAGAAGGTATCTCCTATCTGGCATTGTTGCTTGTTATGTAACCTTTAGCTATGCATATGGACTCTTAAGATATTATATTGACCCCTTTAATCTTTGGTTATACTTTTCTTTTGGATGTTTAAGGCCATAGAGTTGGCCCTGATAAACCAATTTATCTTTACTCTTAAGGTCGTTTGAGGACCTGTTCCTCAGGGGTCACATGGGCTTGGGAGGAGCGCCAGGCTCCTTTCTTTTACCAGTTCCGCCTATGTGAAGATAAGTCAAAGATCCTGCTCGACCATAGTTGGCTTCGCTTGGAAGCATGGAGGAAGTGATTCCTCTGTGTTGATCCTCCTCTTTGTAGACTGGAC